GTCTTTTGTACCTGTAACCAATACAGCTGGAGGACAGTATTGTCATTTTGGCATTAGACAAGGTATTTTAAGTAATATTTCAAGTTTTTAAAGAAAAAGGATTGTATATCAATTCAAGTCAACATTGATGATTTACCAATGTTTAAAAGCAGCAATGGACAATTTTGGCCAATATTTGGTTTAATAAAAAATGTGGATAAACAATATTCAACACAATAAAACCCAATTTATAATCGGTCTTTTTTATAGTAGGTCTAAACCAAAAGACCGTAATGAATTTCTAAAAATGTTTGTTAATGAAAGTATTGCTTTATTTGATTCTGGTATTAGTATTAATGGTAAAGTATATAAGTTTGCTATATCAGCTTTTATTTGTGGTACACCAGTATTATTGTGGTACCTGTATTTTCAAAAATCCTCGAACGTATCATGTGTAATAGGATATTTGCATTTTTGTATGATAACAATCTTCTTTATTGGAACCAATATGGTTTTCGATCAAATTACTCAACGGAACATGCACTTATGCAACTTGTTGAAGTTATCAGTGAAGCATCTTCTCATAACAAGTTCACCTTAGGTATATTCTTAGACTTGTCAAAAGCATTTGACACCGTTAATCATCAGATTTTATTAGAAAAACTAAAATATTATGGAATAAGCCACGAATACCATAAATGGTTTACCAGTTACTTAACTGATCGAAAGCAGTTTATTTCTCTTAATGATGGCTTTCAGACAAACAAACTTAAAATATCATGTGGGGTTCCACAAGGCTCCATCTTAGGTCCGTTGCTATTCTTAATCTATGTCAACGATCTATATAAAGCATCAAATACTATGTCTACTATTATGTTTGCAGACGACACCACTTTATTCTATTCTCACAGTAATATTATCTCTCTATTTCAAGTAGCAAATAATGAACTAGAACAAATATCAAACTGGCTTTTCGCTAACAGCTTATCTTTAAACACTGATAAAACTAAGTTTTCCTTATTCCATTCTAAACGAAAGTTTCAATCTATTCCAAAATCCTTACCAATGCTATATATAAATAACATCAATATTGAGCGCTCATTCACAAATAAATTACTTGGTATTTTATTGACGAAAACTTATCCTGGAGAGCTCATATAAATCATATTAGCAATAAAATCTCAAGAAGTATTGGCATCTTATATAAAACCAGACAAATCTTAGACAAATCTACACTAACTCAACTATATTTTGCATTCATAAATAGTTATTTATCTTATGGCAATATTGTTTGGGGTAGTACAAATAAATCTAAACTCGACTGTCTCCTTAAACAACAGATTCATGCAGCACGCATTATTCATTTTCAAAATCGCTTCACAAATGCTAAACTTCTTCTAAAAAGCATGAGGGCACTTGATATTTATGAGTTAAATATTTTCAAAATTACACAATTTATGTTTCAACATCAGTCAAAAAAAACGCCTAAGGTTTTCGAAAATATTTTCCATAAAACATTAAACCGATACAACACGCGATCTACCGGAAGATTTAAAAAACCTTTCCGTTCATCAAAACTTACGAGCTTTGCCATTTCCTAGCGTGGCCCAATGCTATGGAACCATTTTACAAGTCTGAGTGGTAAACTTAAAAAAGCCAATACCTCTCAAAAATTTAAAAAGAACATAATCGAACTTATTCCTAATCACGATTCTTTACATGATTTTTTCTAACAATACACGATTATTTCCAATTTTTATTATCAAAGGTTACTGATGAAAAGACTTTATCTTCTTCAGGTTCTCCGGTCTTGTAACTATTATAATTAATGAAATGTACTTGTATTTAATATTTCTAAATATTTTACGGAAACTATCTTTAATTGTAAATTTTAATTGTAAATTTTATTGCTTGACAAAAATTGGAAAAAAAAAAAAAAAAAAAAAAAAAAAAGCTAGATCATTTATAAACGAAAATAAACGACATAAAGCCTATTAATAAATGTTATGCAATATTTAATGGCATTAATTTGATATCTATTTTTTTTTAATTTTTTTTCAAATGTTCTTTAGTATATTATATACTGAAGAATATTTTTAAAAAAATTAATAAAAAAAATAGATATCAAATTAATGCCATTAAATATTGCATAACATTTATTAATAGGCTTTACGTCCTTTATTTCCGTTTATAAATGGTCTAGCTGGTGTACTACAAAAAAAAAAGTCTGGCCTCCATTACTTGCCGCAGCTATTATCTACAAAAAACATAGAAAAATCATCAGTAATATATATTATATATTACTGATGTTTTTTCTATGTTTTATGTAGATAATAGTTGTGGCAAGTAAAGGAGGCTGTCTGGAGAATGTATTTTGCGTTATTCACTAATAACCTTTGCCGTAAACTTAACAGGTCTGGTATTACCAGAAATGACAATGAAAGTAACTTTGTAAAACAAAGTCTAAAAGACTTACACTTGCTTGAAAGTAAATTTTTTTGGAGGAGCTTGTTACTCTAATTTAATAATTACTTGTGTCTAATTTAGTAATTACTAATCTATTTGTTAATAAATAGTTGATAAATAAATAAAATTTATTTATTAACTATATATAAATAAAAAGTTAATAAATAGATAAATAAAAGTTTTTAATAAATAGCTTTAAAAAAAATTCTATATATTTCTGAAATTAAGTTAAAAAATATATTTTTTGTTTTCCTGCTAGATAGTTAAATAAAAATCTTAAATTAATTTTTAGGAGCTGTAAAAAGAAATCCTGCAAGAACTTTAGCAACTGAATCAGATTTTTGATATGAGGTTGTGCGTTTTTGCGTGGTGCATCAAACCGCAATGGCGGACAAAAAGTTAGACAAGACCAAAAAAACAAACAAGCCAAGAAAAAAGTGATGCCTGCATCAAGTTTTCCAATGCCATTAAATAAAAAGGCGTTTTTTTAGTTCAGAAGATGAATAACATCATTAAATAAAATAAGCATCTTTATTTACAAGTTTGTTATCTTTATTTTACAATATTTAATATATTTTTAAATATTTTAATTTTTAAACTCAATAGAGTAAAGTTTTTGTGCAATGAGTATTACTGTTTCCATGTTTTTCATATTCATTCCCTTTTACAGTAACCTCTTGTATATGAGATTGTAGATGAGAATTTAAATCGTGATATTGAATCTTACCAGAGAATAAAGTAAGATTAATTTTATTATTTTGATATTATTTGTTTTAATGTTATTTTTGAAAAAAATTCAAAATATAAGTTCTGGAGTCTGTCTGTTTGATTTGTTTGATTATATTAAATTTAAATATAACTATAAGCTTTAAAATATAAAGTTATTGATGGAAAGCTAAATTAACTTGGTATTTAACCGGTGAAGCAGATGAATAAAAATCTAACAAAATTTTTATTTTACAAGCCATTATTTTAAAGGATTACTTTAAGCCCAGTAAGCACAAAGATGTTTAAAAGACGTTTTAAAGATGTCTTTAAGGAGGTCTAAAAAGCGCACTTGTAGACGTCTAGATCATAAGGCTAAAAGACGTCCAAATAAAAACGTCTTTATAAAAACGCGTTTTAGACGTATTTTAGACGTTTATTTTAAGATGAATTTAAGTACATGACGTAACATTTTCGCGTAGTATGTGGTATATATTCAATGTATTTATACGTCATATATTGTTATAATTTCGTATATACAAAATATACATAGGAACTAGCAATCTAAATAATATAGCTATCACCACCAACGGTTGATTATGCACAGATGAAAATAATAAATAACAATAACAATTATATATCAAAACAGTATTTAAAACATTTGTGACTTACCTTTAGTTATTTTAAAATTTAACTTAAGTATTGCTAGCTAATTTTTGACAGGATACTTGACTTATTATATGGCTTGTGGGTGTATAAAAACTAAAAATACTGATATTTATTTTATATATTATTCTTGCCATTTTCACTTATTATCATGATCAGTCAACTATCTATTAAAAAAGCAAAATAATTATTAATAAAAAAAAGATATATTAATATTATAGCAATTATTTTAGTGATTCCTGTGACAACAATTTTAGCAATTGTGTAAAAAAGTAATTTACACTTAAAACTTGAACAAATTATTGAAAATAATAAAAACTATGTTTTTACTTTGAATATACGACATCTACTTAACGCGTAATGACAAAGCCGTCAAAAAGAAGTCATAATGACATATTTATAAACAGGTCTCAGAAAAGACGTCTTTTAGCCTTGATCTAGACGTCTTTTAATGCGTCTTTTAGACTATATATTATGCGTCTTTTAAACGTCTTTTTAAACTTTAAAAAGATGTCATTTTAAAAACGCCTTTATAAAAGACGTCTAGAAGATGTCTTAAAAATTGACGTCTTCTAGACGTCTTTTTATCTTTTAAAAAGACGCCTTTTGAACGTCATTTTAAAAACGCATTCATAAAAGACGTCTAAAAGATGTCTTCAAGTGTCTTACAAAAGTGCGTCTTTACCTAGACTAGTTTTAGTCGTCTATAAGTGTCTAAAATGCGTCTTGTGCTTACTGGGAGAATTCCGTTCAAACATGCTTGTAATTTAATGTTACATTTATGATTTAATATTATTTCTTTACAGGAAACCGTTTACCTCAACCAGAGTTATATTTCATAGAATTATGTTGACCATGATCCAAATATTGCCATGGGTATAAGATAGTTGCTTGATTTGCAAACTGGATTTAAATCATATTTTCTTTAAACATTTATTTGCTTTTTATATGCTTACAAATAATTTATTAAAAAAAAATTATATACTTATTTACTAGTGATCGACCGGCACTGAAATTTTGCCGGAACCGGAACCGAACCGAAAATAGATTTTAAATATTCCTAACCGGAACCGGAACCGAAAGTAAACCCTAACCAGAGCCGAAACCGAAACCGAAAATAAATAATAGTTTTTGTTTGCAAGTTTATTCCAATTAAAACACAAAGTTAAATTAATAAAAAATGATTAATAGCAGAATCCAACAACTGCAAGATTTTCTCGACAAAAAAGGAGTTTTTCCAAATTTTCTGGAAGGAGTCTGTTTCTTTCGTTAGATAGAATATCTCCAGCCGTAGAAAACAATCTTTCAACATCTGTGGATGTTGGGGGTGGTGTGAGGTACTTTTTTGCCACCTTAGTCAATGCTAACTTGATTTTGCTAGTCGCATTTTTTTCATAGTTTTTCCAAAATTCTAGGCAATGAGAAGCCATTGGACAATCCAAAAAACCCTTCAACACTTCCCTCGTCATTTTGGAAGATGAATCCTCATTTGGTCCTGCTTGAGACTGTGCAATAATTTTTGACATTATGTGCGAGAATGCCGTATTTTTTTCATTGTCACCAGATGGAATTTGAGTAACAGGAGCCAATTCATCTTCAAGAGGTTCAAAATTCTCCATTTGGGACATGACAATGTGTTTGGCATTTTGCAAAGCAGCTTGAGATCGGAAAAAATACCATTTGTATTTTGGATTAAGTAAAGTAGCAACTGAATAATGTTCTGTTTTTTCAATTGCTGAAAAACGTTTTTCCATTGCATTTTTCATAGCTATTTTCAATTTCTGAACACTGACGTCGCCGGAGGTTGTTTCCAAAGCTTTAATTATTGTTGTCACAATTGGAATGCAGGAACTGATACAAGAATCACTACCTGACAACATTTTTGTTGCCTCCTCAAAAACACTTAAAATCCTCACCACTTTTTCATAGAGGCTCCAATCTTGGACGGAAAATTCAATTCCCACAGAAGGAAATTTGAGTAAGGTTGCAGCAATGGCTGGTTTCAGGTGTAACATTCGCTCAAGCATGTAATAGGTAGAGTTCCATCTTGTGGCAACATCGTTTTTTAAGCCAAGTCTGTCTTTTCTATCCATTTGGATTTCTTGCTGTCTGTAAAGTTCAGTGTAGAAATCAATAGAATGGGATGCGTAAGAACAAAGATTTTGACTCTTTTCAATCAGTTCGTTGATGGTAGGATCTGATAATAGGTCTTTTTTTATCACAAGTTGAAGGGAGTGGTTAAGGCATCCAGCTGACTTATAATTACAGCTTGGCTCATTGAAGGCTGCTTTTACATTTGCTGCGTTGTCTCTTAAGCAAACTCCAATTTTTGAAGAAATTTCCCATTCCTCTGCTGCTGCTTTGATCTCTTTGAAAATATTTTTTGCAGTATGACTTTCATCAAATGGAGAACAAGAGATGCAGAATTTGACACGTTTTATAAAAGTATTTGACACAATTTCCTAGTTTGGAATTGTAGATTGTAACATGTCGGATCTTTGTTTTTTTGATCGCATGTTGAAGATTGTAACTGCCTTTCTCTTGTTGGAATTTAAGTCAGCTTCTTCATTTGCCTTTGGATTTTCTGCTTTTTCGGGCGTAAGTTTGATGTCAGGATGATGATTCTTCAGGTGTGACGTGAGTCCACTTAATCCTTGTTTTTTTGGGCCGTCAGATCCTCTTGAAACTTTGCTGTTGCAGATTTTGCACTGAACCATTCTTGGATTGTTTGCTTCAATTATGAAGTACTTCCACACTAAACTTGTTTTTCGGTTTGAGCTCATTTTATTAGAATGAAATCGAAGAACTTAATCAGATGAGTTTTTTAATGTTGCTAGTTTGAGTCAAGAACAAGGATTTCAAATATAATTAACAAGTTCTTTGTTAATTATATTAATTATTAATTATATTAATTTGTATTAATATTGTTGTTAACTTAACAATATATATATATATATATATATATATATATATATATATATATATATATATATATATATATATATATATATATATATATATATATATATATATATATATATATATTTAAGAAAAATTTCTTACGTTACATTAAAAAGTTCAATACATGAAAAAGTTCGTTAAAAAGACAATTAACAATTTAAACGAGAAAACATTAAAAAAGTTATAACGACAAGAAAACATTATTGTTTTAATGTTTTAACGACGAGAAAACATTAAAACAACTTGCTTTAAAAAAATGAATGAAACCAATAAAAACTTTTTTAATTTATTTCAAACAAATTCCACGTGATAATTAAAAAAAAAATCACCAAGTTCGTAAAGATTTTACCGTTACCAATTCCATGCGATAATTAAAATAAATAAATAATCAAGTCCATAAACATATGACTCTACAATGTAGATAACATTGTAGCGTCATTAAATTTGTAGATCATGATATTTTAAACATGATAATTAAAAACCAGATAAAAGTAACAACGCGATCGGACGCAAAAAATAATATAAGAAGTTGAAACAACTAGCAAAAAAATTATTTAAATTTTTTTAATCAAAATATATTTACGCTACAATGCTAAATAATTTATTTAAAATAAAGTTTTATAATATCTATTTTCGGTAGCATTTAGAACCGAAATTCCGGCCGAAACCGAAATCTCAAATCTAGCCGGAACCGAAACAGGAATTTCGATTCCGGCCAAATTTATGACCGGAACCGGAACCGAACCGAATTTCGGTCGATCACTATTATTTACTAAACTGTTTTATTTCAATCAATTATTTGACTTTTTATATTTTTGAAGGAATTTTTATAGTATATTATATTGCGCTATGTTTTTGTTTTTTTTATGGTGAAAACTATGTTTAATGTGCAAACTATATTTTAGTTTATCAAAATATATTTTTATTGATGTGTTCTGTCTCTGATTCTTTTTTTTTTCAGATGTGCACTTGTTTCTAAGGCTTATACTTTGCAAAAGGTTCACCATTGTACTTAAGTAGCTGTGGGTTTTACGGTTTTACTTCCAACCTGGCATATAAGTATCTCATTTTTAAATACTATTTTATTTGTTAAGTTAAAGTTAAAATTAAAGATAATTTTTTTAATGAAATAACAATTTTTTTTTATTGTTTATAAACCCCTCAAGCATATTTATGGGATTAGGTACACCAGGTAGGTTACTGTATATGAAGTTTTATTTTTTAAAAAAGGCACGCGATATGACTTTATTTTTATATAGCTTTTTTTTAAAGTTATTTCCACAGCTTTTCAATTTAGGCAATGTTTTTTTTGTTTTTAATGTTTTAAATTATGCTTAAATAATAAAATCAAATTTATATTTATTCAATGTAGATGCACTTAGTATCTGAAGTTATTTTTCAATAACTGGTGATCAAACTATTTCAAACGAACACGTTTTTAAGGGCTGAGAAGGTTAGTTTATTATCTTTGTTGTAATTGCTCTAAACTTAACTGTTTCAATATTTTCATTATATATCATTGCCTGCTTTTAGGTGAAAGTTAGAAGTCTGCAGTCTGCAACGTAAATCAATTTTCAACACATGATTTCCAGAATATATTTAGTTTCTTATATGAGTCCTATAATAGAAACCTGGGGTACCTCACAAGTTATTTGGTTGTTTTTTGAATTTTATGTTTCTTCAAGTATAAATTGTTTTCTGTTAGTTAAGTATGATTTAAACCAAAGTAAACTTTAATTTTTAACACCATAGTGTTCTAGCTTTTTTAAAAGTATCTTGTGATTTACTGTGTCGAAAGCTTTGGGTAAAACAAGACTGAAATAGGTCTGTAGTTTGAAATATTAGTCTCATCAGCAGATTTGTAAATAGGTATTATTTTTCTAATTTTTAATTTGTCAGGAAAATGACCTGACTTAAGTGAGAGATTAAAAATATGGAAATAATGAGGATAATATTAAAAACAGATTTAATTATATTAACATTAATTTGATCAATACCTGTACTTTTTCAAAAGTAATATGCAATTCACTTTTTTTCAAATTGGTTCGTCCATAATTATATCAGTTGTTGTAAGATATGAATCAAATCCTTTTTGACTAAATGGAATTTTCGCTGCTAAGCTTGTTATTAAGGTAAGTAAAAACTTGTGATTAAGGTAAGTAAACCTATTTTGTGATATTACTGCTACGCTTGTTATTAAGGCAGTGAAAGACTAATATTCAAGTAAAACTAAAAAACTTCAATATTGTCCCTCTCCCTTCACTCTACTTTACTAGATAGTTTAGACCAACCAAATCAAATTGCTCTGTCATTCTTTCAAATTGCTCTGTCATTCTTTCCTAAATGGTGTGAATGAACCAAACCAAAAATATTTAAAAACTGTCCCCCCCCCATCCTCCTTACTAGATGGTCTGGATACGCCCCTGTACTTAAAATTTGTATCAAAACTATTGTAAATCAATAAACTAATCTGTTTTATCAAATTCCTTGCTCTGGAAAATTATAGTAGTAGTAGTACACACACACACACACATACACATATATGTATATATATATATATATATATATATATATATATATATATATATATATATATATATATATATATATATATATATATATATATATCAACTTGCCTAATTACCCAGACAGATCTAATAATAATATGTTTCCGTATATGTAAATTTCTTTATGGGGCTCAATATTTAAGGTGAGGTCTAATCTAATGATGTAAATATTAATCTTATATTTCTTTCATCCTAATGTTTAATGAAGTATTTAACTCGGCCTAATATCAAACTTTGAAAACCGTTTTATCTCTATAGTTTCATTTTTATAACGCTTCCATTAAAAATTATAAAGAATTACCAATAATGATGTTATTGAGTTTTAGTATGTAGCTTATTCTTAGCTCTCTTCTGCTGTGATTATAACTTCATTTCATTAGGTTCCTTTTCTTAATTTGTTTAAATAAAGTTATTTAAAAAATAATTTTATTCATTAGATTTAATAGTATTGATGTTTGTTTTTAGAGTTTATTTGTAAAGGCGAGTTTCCACTCATCCGTTTTTTCACGGGAACGGGAAAAGGACGGGAAAAATAATCACGTGGGCACGCGTAGTATAAGTTTTAATATGTCCGAATAAAAACTACGCATGCTCACGTGATTATTTTTCCCGTTCCCGTGAAAAAACGGATGAGTGGAAACTCACCTTGATGAATAATATGTCGCAACATAAAGTACACAAATGTAGCAAAGGTTGATTAAGATTTGGCAATAAACATAATGTTGAGACAAAAATTATGTCAAATCTCAAATTAAATGTTTCGTCTAAATCTATTAAGTTTACACTTAATCGAATTAGTTATTAACATTTTAGCTTTCAGTGTTTACCCAGTGGACATGCGTTGTCCGGGAAAGTCCATTGGACTTCTTACGGTCGTCTCACGGATAACAAATGAGCAAATGAAAAAAAAGGTCACTTAATTAATAAAATAGCTTTAGTAAAATAAAAAATAAATAAAAGAGTTTCTGTAGATAAAAAAATTTTGGAAAGAATAAGAGGCCTTTAAATTATATATCAGGCCCGTAGTAACCGATGATGGAGGGAGGGGGGGGTGGGAGTTTCGCAGCACGGGAATTTGCAACCTCCTCACCCCCCTAAATTTTATTTGACATATTATGTCAAAAAACATTTGGAAAAAAATAAAACTGCGCACTAATTAATACATCAGACAATTTTTTTTTTTAATAGTTGGTAGGGGAGAGCAAGGTTGGTTGTCACGCGGGTTGGTTGTCACAAAGTTTATTACAGGAAATGTAAATAAGATATAGAAATTTCAAATTATACAATGGAAATGTTATATAAAAAAAACATTTTTACAGTAATTTTTATCTTTTCTTAGCGTGCAGAAGAAAAGTTATTCGTTTTTATAGGTTTTTGATATGAAAAAGTAAAATTTCGCCTACTCAGAAATTTTCTTTTACCAAACGAAAATTATTTTATTGTGTTTTGAATGTAGATTTATAAAGTACTTTATTCATTTGAGTAACTTAATCCGTAAAAAAATATCATGAAATTCTCACGCTTTTAGGTAAATGTACAGGTGTCCAGTAACTTACTCAGAAGGGGTTGCTTGTCACAAATTATATGGGGATGGTTGTCACACTTGCCTCGACTCCATGCGCTGCAAATTAAACGCCGCTTGCAGAATATTTAGTGGCTTTGTTTATTTTCCGCATTATTGAGGAATATTTTAATGTTTAAGATATTCTTTTAAAATCTAAAGTCAAAGTGTTATATTTGTTTAACTAAATATCTGTAATCTAAATTATTTTTATTTCAACGTGCATAACTTTAGATTCCGATCCAATGTTTAGTATAATTATAGAAAAAGGATTGCAGAAGTTCAACTGTTTATTGTTTTGTTTACAAACTAAACAACTAGCTGTTGTTTAGTTTGTAAAACTGTCTGTTGTTTTGTTTGTGCATTGTTTATATTTAGTGGGTTTATGTATATATATATATATATATATATATATATATATATATATATATATATATATATATATATATATATATATATATATATATATATATATATATATATATATATATATATTATATATATATATATTAATGTTTTGTTTACATTATTTGCAAATATTTTTATTTGCTTAGTAATAAACATGGTACGAAATTTTAAAAGAAAAACTAATAGAGGTTATACTTCTGGAGATGTCATTGTAAAAAAATTATTATTACTAACCCATCACATGGTTCTATAGCAGATCTAATTGACAAAATTGAAAACCCCACCTCCCTGAATGTTATAGGATACAAAAGTCGATTGATATTGCCAGAAAAAGTAGAAAAAGAACTGGTCACCTACCTGTTGCGAGCAGCAGATATATATTTTGGTTTAACTCCTACCGAAGTAAAAAAGCTTGCTTTCCAGCTAGCAATTAAAAATAATATGAAGGTTCCCAATTCTTGGGTTGTAAAGGAACAAGCTGGTAAGGATTGGTTTACAGGATTTATAAAGCGCCATTCAAATATTTCCATTAGGCAACCTGAAGCTACTAGTTTGAGTCGAGCGACAAGTTTCAATAAGCAGAATGTTGCATCATTTTTTAGCAACTTGCAGCACTGTATGCAAAAATACTCGTTCTCACCAAATGACATTTGGAACATGGACGAAACTGCTGTAACTACTGTACAGCAACCTAAAAAGGTTATTGCGAAAAAAGGATTAAAACAAGTAGGAGCCATCACGTCAGCTGAAAGAGGAACTCTTGTAACATTAGCATGCGCAATAAATGCTATTGGAAATAGTATTCCACCCTTTTTTATTTTTCCTCGTAAAAACTTTAAAGATCATTTCCTAATCAGTGCACCAACAGGAAGTGCAGGAGATGCAAATCCAAGTGGTTGGATGAAAGAAGAAAACTTTGTAAAATATCTTAAACATTTTGTAGGCAATACAAAATGTACTAAAGAAAAGCCTTGTTTATTGTTGCTTGACAATCACGAAACTCATCTTAGTATTGAAGGATTAGATTTGGCAAAAAATAATGGAATAGTAATGCTTACCTTCCCACCACATTGCACACATAAATTGCAGCCCTTGGATAAGGCAGTTTATGGTCCTCTCAAAAACTACATAAATACTGCTATGACATCATGGTTAGTAATGAATCCTGGAAAAACTGTTACAATATATGATATTCCAAAAATAGTAAACATTGCATTTCCAAAGGCTGTATCTCCCCACAATATTTTAAGTGGTTTTTCTGCAACAGGTATTTACCCGTTAAATCCTGATGTATTTACTGAAATTGATTACTGTCCTAACTATGTAACTGATCGCCCGGACCCACCTTGTTCACAGGCTGATTCAAATAAAAAAGACTGTGAATCTTATTCAATGCAACCAGAACCATCAAATAAAAGATTTAAAGAATCTATTCAGATACCAGGTAATCAGGTAGACATAACAATAGAAGATCCAGTTGTATTAAATAAAACCCCTAATCAGAACCCAATCACAACATTAGGTTTTAACAATTCAATCATACCACCTGAGAGTATTAGGCCTCTGCCTAAAGCAGGTCCGAGGTTAGCATCAAAAAGAGGTAGGAAAAAGCGGTCAACTATGATTCTTACTAACACGCCTGTCAAAGCATGGCTTGCTAATTATAAAAAGAAGAAAACTAATAAAAAAAAATTTACTAATGGAAGTAAAAAAGAATTAATAAAAGCAAATCTTGCTACGAAAAAACCTTCTATAGTCTTAAATTCATCTGAAGATAAAGAGTATCTGTGCATCTATTGTTTTGAATCATTTTCCAACAGCCGATCAAGAGAACAGTGGATTCAATGTCAGGTTTGCCAAAAATGGGCTCATGAAGAATGCACACCAGGCTTACAACAGTTTATTTGTGAATTGTGTTCTTTATCCAATAATTTTTAAAAAACCAAACCTAAAAACATTTATAGTGATAAACTAAATTTGTTAATTGTGTTATATTTAAAATATATATATTTCAGTTTATAGTATTTTATTTTTGTTTTTCTTAGTAAAACATAAACGAAATTAATTTGTACTCGTTTTACATTAAATTCTTATCTAAACTTGTCAAAATCCAAATGTGACAATCAACCCCGCACCATGTGACAACCTACCCCGTGAGCGGGGCTAGTTGTCACACAGAAGTGGTCTTTGAAAAATGATTTTACAGCAATAAATATTTCACTCAAGGTCATAAAAATATTATAATAGTTACTGGAAATAGTTAAATTAGCTTTGTGCAAAGTTTGGCATTGATTGGATGAAAATTAAAAGCTGAGCAGCCTAAAATGTAAAAAGTGTGACAACCTCTCCCCTACTTTTTTATTATTAATAATTTTTTAGCACATTATAATAAGGCAATCACTTGACTAACTTTATATGCTAGGATTTTTCTAGATATCTGTCTAAAGTTGCACAACTGCCTTGTTTATTCAAATTTCATGAAATTTATTTTCGATGTAGTCTCCTAATATTTTAGAGCCCCTCGAACACCATAGACCAGGCACAGGTAGTAAATTTAAATCCACGCGCCTTTTTTATTCTCTGCATCCTTGCTAACATGTTTTTGTTGCAGTCAGATAAACAGACTCTATCTGATGTTGCCAATAATGAAAAAAATTATATTTGGGTTTTAACATACTCATTTACAAATTATTCTCGTACATCATACTCAGTTACAATTTATTCTCGTTTATCTTACTCAACTACAAAGCAGGGTTGAAAGGTTTTTTTTTCGGGCACAAGCCAAAAACAAAACAAAAATAAACCAGAAATAAATTAGACCAAAAAGAAAAGAAAAAAATCATAATTTTTTGTGTTAAAGCCTTGTTAATAATCTTTATTTTGGAAAAAAGCTTTTTTATCTAAAAATTCATTTTTGAATAATAAAATTTAATTTCTAAGAGAGTGATGGAGGAGAAGAACAAGTTAGTGAATGTTTAATGGGAGCTAGTCCAGCCTTCAAAGCAGCGTGAGGAAAGTAGTTCACTCCCAAATGCCTTTACTAAATCCGACACTATCAACCTGTAAAATATATGTATATATTTTTTCGCTTGCATATGGATTTATATTTTTTTTTCCAACCTTTGCGATAATTGACTCAATTATTTTAAAGCCCAGGTAAAAAATCTTTCGCCTAATTAAATATGGTTTGATCCAAATGACTGCATGCAAGACTTGGTTTGATATTTTCTTAGTCTGATTTTAATGCAGATGACCTGTGAAAAGACTCAACAAAATAGTTAGAAACGGAACACGAAGACAGCCATGGCAGTAGGCATCTATGTTGCAGAGGTTTAGGTCTCCGGAAACTTCTAAATAATCTCACGAAGCAGTTTTCTCACCGCAGAATTCTGCGGTGTTTTTAGAGGGTCATTTTTTATAAAAGTTTTTAGACTCGCTCTAATGATGCAATGTCAATTAATTTATGATTAATGACAATTTCTGTAATGATTTTCAATTTTTTTCATTTTTTGCATCCATAAGATGAAACAGTAGATTTGAAATGTCCTTTCCAACTTGGGAAACAACATTTATTGCAGGCAGATTTTTCTCAAAAAATTTCATTTTGAATGTAAGATTTTCTAATACTTTTGGCAATTAAGGGATAAAAACAACATTTTAATGACATTACAAGTAAAAGTTTTTAACAATTTAATATTTAAATGTAAGCAATTCTTTCATTTATTTTAAACTTGATTGTTCTTCTAAAAAATGAAAAAATGGAAATCTTTCATTCCCTCAAATTCACTTTTTTCATGAAATAAAAACTTGATTAAATTGATTTATTATTAAATTAACCAGGTTTTAAAAAATATACCAGAAAAAAACAAAAAATGACCAAAGAATTTAAAATAAACCAGATTTAAACCAGGTTTTCTAAAATTGACTAAAACAAAAGTTTCAAGCCAAACGATAAAAAAACAAACCGGTTTTGAGAAATGTGGAGCCCTGGGGCAGTGGTTAGAGTTCTGGTTCTGAGCAGCCGTGGCGCAGTGGTTAGAGTTCTGGCTCAGAACCCAGAGGTCCGAGGTTCGACGCCGGCTCCAGCCCAATAAACAACATTGGTAAGGAAGGAGGCGTGAACTTCTAGTTAAATGCTCTTCCGCGGTACACCATTATAAGACCGTTAGGACTTCTGGGAGCACCTAAATAACAAAAAAAAAATCTGGCTTTAAAAAACACCAGATGGCAATCCTGCTACAAAGTATTATCGTTCATCATACTCAATTAAAAATCATTCTGATACATCAAATTCAATTACAAATTATTCTTGTTCAGCATACTAAATTACAAACTATTCTCGTTATCATACAAATTTTTTTTTGCACATCAGGTTGTTTGTCTTTCTCTACATTGACAAAGACAAACAATCCTTTTAGCTTGAAGCTAGAAAATGTTCTAGCTTCAAGCTTTTAAATAGGTATATACGCACGTTCTTTTATGCGTAAAACAGACTTTTTGACGTTATTGTTCTGGAAAATATTGATTTAAAAAAAGATAATAAAAACTCATTAGCGATTAAAAATCAAATGTTAAAAGCCGACTTATTTGTTTATCATATTTTATATAATCATAGATCATCAGTGTATTAAACTAAAATACTATTTTATGTTATATAACGTATGATATATACATTATACTGTATTTATATTTATTGATTTAATAGCACAAACTTTAATCGTCAACTTTAAAAAAAAAAATGTATACGATATATTGATATTTGTAAGACCGTAATGTGCGTCAATGAGCGGAAAAAACTTTCAAAGATTTTCTACTGACTGTTATTTTTGAATAATAATTTAGTTACTAAATGCGTTTAAAAGCTTTTTCCGCTCAATGACGCGTGATGCCGCGTTATAAATATTATCAAGTTTAAGATTTATCATATTTAATTCAAGTGTTATTGTTAAGTGGAAAACGTATTTTGTCGGGCAAATTAGGTCTAAGATTTCAATACAAAATATCCAAAATCTATTGAGAGAATAATTATTTTTTTTTAGGAGTTTTTTATAAAAACACAGCGTTAGATTTTTTGCATTTAAACATACTAGAATTACCGATTAATGAGTAACCGTCATAGGCTGATAACTATTAGGTACCGCTATTTTTTAAACTAAGTTTCAGTCTTTGGGTTCGTTAAAAATAAATTGTTATACTTAAAATGTTTATAACTAGATAAAATAAAGCACTTATAAAAAACGGGTTTTTGAAATTTTTACGTGTTACTTGGCTTTCCACAGATTTTCATTCAAAATGCTTAAAGTTAAAATGTTTTAAGGCAGGGGCGGATGCAGCGTATTTTAGTGATTAAGCTGACTTTCATATTTAAATGGCTATATTTTTTATGAAGTAAAAAATCAAGTTTTGATGAAACATTTTTTTCTTTTTAAAAGGTGTTCACTATGTAAATGAGCACCAAAAAGCGTAAAAAAGGAAAAAAAAATTGAATTGAGGATTCATGTTAGGCTCTCCTACGTAAATCAGATTAAACTAGTAAGCCAAGTCTTGTTGGTTTATATATCTATTTCTTGCACTTAAGCTTGATATAAACCTTTATTATTAGATAGCATTTGTAATGTGTTCGCGTACCTTTATCTCTTTATAAGAATTAAATAAACATTTCTCTTTCTCTCTAATATAACTCATTATCTTTTAACATTTATATACTTCCGGTTCAAATACATTAGAAATGTTTTTAATCAGGATTTAAAAAAATTTCAACGTATTGAAGTTATTAATACATATTACACATTGTAAAGTAATTGGAGTTACTTTGAAGTCTGTCAAATATTGTCGAGTCTAAAGCAAATACAAAAATATTCTTTTATCAGTTTCGTCAATTAAAATATTTGTTAAAAAACTTACTATAAATAAACTTGCTAAATAATTTAATAAAAATGTACAATCGCAATTTAAAATGCAATAGGGTAAACATTGCATTTAAAAATTAAATATCAACGCAGTCTTCATAACAATTGTCTTGGATTTGACTCAGTCTTTTTGATCTCATATATTTTGAGTATGCAGTATTGTAGTATGCATGAACTAATATGGAAAACAATTATTTTCTCATTGTTTTGTAACTTTTTGAGACTTGAACAATTTCTTTCCACTTTGGTCATAAATCTTGATATTATAGCTTGGAACTTGTGAAGCTGTACGAAAAAGTTGTAATAATAAAAATATCATCAAAATGGACAAAACATTAATATATAGCAATAGTTAAAAAAAAAGAGTCTTACAGCAAAAGCCGCATGTTGACGGGCAATTCGTCTTCATAAAGTGCAAATTACTGCGAAATCCTGAATTACATTCTTTGATAAATGCAGTGCATAAAACTGGATTACGGTCTTTACAAGCTATAAGTAACATATTATCATCAGAAAAACTTTAACTTTTAATAGCTGCATTTTACAAAGCTGCACCAAAGAATATATATATATATTTATATATATATATATATATATATATATATATATATATATATATATATATATATATATATATATATATATATATATATATATATATATATATATATATATATATACATATACATATACATATACATATACATATACATATACGCGAGCATATATACAATATAAATACACATAGTACAAGTAAATAATGTTTGACCTTTACAACTTTCACCGCTACTTGGTTTTTCAGTCCAATCCCAACAGCATCCATATGGTGACGAATGACAAGAGTACGATGGAAACAGTGCTCCTTATACATATTTAAATATTATTTTAAAATTTTAAAATTTTATTAATATGAAACAATAAGAATAAAAACATCAAATTTAATCATACTTTTTTCAGGACAAAGATTGCAAGTGCGAGAGCAATACTTCTTTAGAGTGTCTATGTAATTCTTTTCTTTACACAAACCTAAATTTTTCCAAGAATCGCAAAAGCCGGATTCTTTTTCTTGTTGACCGTCTTCACAAGGTTCTTTATGTAGAAAAAAAGTCAAACACTTTAAATCTATGATGTCGATTATAAAACTGATATAAAACAAACAAACAAAAAATTACCATCTGCTGGACAAACTCCATAAAAACCAACCGTGATATTTAAATTTTCTCGACAAGAATGGCGTTGGAGATGGCAATAATCTTTATATGTTTTTCCGTCTGTACCACACACACTTCCTAAACTTTTATACTCTTCTTTATTGTTGCAATGATCTGGACACTCGCACCTAGCTTGTCTTGTTTCATTGTTAAACACACAGAGCTTGTGTTTAGGGCAGTTTAACAACGCGCATTGGTGTCTAATATCTAAGTTTAAAATTTTAAACATAAAATGAACTAAAATTAAATATTTAAAGACTAAAAAATCCAATACGTACAAATACGTAACAAATACGTACCACATAAATCGCAAGTTTTTGCACATCGGCTCACCATAAGATCTGCATGAGTATAACAAGCACCGTGTTGTTGAAGGTATCTGCAATTAAATGGACCATCTTCATCTAGACATTGATTTTCTATAGGTGTTTCATGGTCTAAAATACAAAGTTAAGTTAATAAATTATATTAATAATGTAATCTAATTATTTAATTTTGATTAAATTAATATTAATCGATAAAAAATATAATCGATATTAATTAATATCGATTATACTTTTGTCAAATATGTTATTATAAAAACTTAATTTAAGAAAATCTCACATTTAAAATTTTTTAAAAAACATACCGCACAAATCACAGGTTTGAGGACATAGATTACGGAGGCGTTCGCTTCTAGTTTTACAATAACCCAATCCTTTATAAAAGTCGCAGTCCTTCCATGGCAAAGCGTCCTTGCAAATTTCTAAAATAAAATAACATTTTAGACACAATAAAATTTTGATTATTATTTTTATTTTGAAAACGGTACACAAATATAAGAAATAAATATGAGAAGCATATATAAAAAAACAAGGTGTTTTTATCGTCGTGGTCTCTCTTCGCAAATAACTTACTTTGGTTTTTACTAATTATAGTTTCTGCCAACAGCAGTTTTAAAGTTAAGAAGTAGGGCACAATACATGTTGTACGCATTTTAAATTTAATTTAGACCTTAAATAACTTGTTCCTTCTGTCACCACGGGCAGTTTAGAATGTTTTGCATTCTAAAGCAAATATTTGCCATTATTCATTAGGCTAAGAAATATTTTTAGCTCTCCATCCGACAGACTTTTGTATATAAAAATTTTCCTGGATGATTAAATGAATGAATGGATTATTTTTATTAGTTTTTTTTTAAATAATTTTTACACGATATGTAATTAAATGATAAGCTAATATTTTAATTCAAAATCTTGCTGGTCTTGCTGATAATTCTCACACAAAATTTAATGTAATATTAGTATTAATAAAAACAAATAATTTGGCTGTGAATACGAACAATTGCTGATGTAAAAAACTCCAAAGAAGCTTTTTTTTGTGTACTTTGTAATCGATAACCACTTAGGAATGGATTGAACGAGTCATTTTTAAGGAATCTTGTGAATATACTAAAATATTTGAGTCGAATAATTGTTGAAATTTTAGACTTGAAAACTCAACTTTAATTAAATTTATATATAGGATTGTTTCTTTTATAACTTATGTTAACTTTGTTTAGACTTAATTAGATAAAGTAAGTTAAATATAAAAAAATTTTGAATAACTTTTTTATATATGAACAACATTTCTTAACTAAAAAATATTACTTATTAAATGTTATAAATTTTTGTGTGCTTTGGTTCTGTATTGAGAGAGCATGCTGCTAAGTCTGAGAAAAGTTGTTGCCTTCATGCGGATGGCATTTTTCCAAACATGGATTATAAAATAAGAAATGATAAATCTTAAAGAGCATCGCTAATATAAAAAGGAAATTGGTATTGTTAGTATAAAATAATCCTACAAAACCAATTTATCAATATATTTACTGGGTCATCTGTTTTTGCCTGCTTTTTATTAGTTTTTTTTTTCTATTGTTATATTTAAAAGCAAGAGTTTTTAAAATAATAATAGATGTTTTCAGAAAACATATTTTTAAAGCTTCAAAAAAAAAAAAAAAAAAAAATTCTTAAAACTCAAGGAAATTAAGTTAAAAATACGTTGTTAATCTAACGCAAATGAAACTCAAGTAAATTAAGTTAAAAATACGTTGTTAATCTAACGCAAATGAATAGTTACAATAATGATAATGAGAAAAATGATTTTTGCTTTCAATATTGTTTATTACATATTTTTTAATATTTTGCATTTAAAAAATTATTTGTTTTATTACGATTTTCGCTTCTATGCACATATATTGTCAAACATTACAGATTGTTTTAATTTATCAACTAATATGACTAATTTTTCTTTCAAACGATCGTTAATGCATCGTGTTTTTATAATTAATAAACAAAAACCTATATCTACTCATTCAGGTATTAAAAATAAACGAAGCAATTTTTGTAATTAATTTAATTGATGATAGACCAACGTGCAAGTGTGGCATTTTGATTTCTTCATTGATTGTTTTAATAAAGTTTGATTATCTTTAGCCAAACTTAATTACTATTAATATTACTAATAATGTATTATTACTATATTCTCAAATAAGTAATTTCAATTACCTTTGGGTATCTTTACGTTAATTTGGCAAGTTGTTCTAAAGAACTCAATTTATGCCTTCATTGTGATCTGATTATTGGCAACTCAACGATTTGCAAAAACAATTAAGTATTCAAAAATATTTGTGCAATTTCCACAGTTTTGTCAAATTAGGCATTACAAATTGTGCATTACAAATTGTATATGTAATACTATTGCTATTTTATAAGAATTTAAAATAATATTAAAACTACAAGTAAATCTAGATTTGAATATTATTTAGAATAAATAATATTCAATGTGCCTCACCATGGTTCAAGCACTTTCGTATGATAAAACAGTTACTACACGAGCTATTTTTTGAAAAAAAAAGTTTTTTTATTTGACATTATTAGGCCTGCCAGGGGTCGAAATTTGTGTTTTTTTGATAACAAATTAGTTTATTAGTTTTTAAAACTGATAAATTTTAAGGTATTTTATTCAATGTGTTTATCGGTAAGTAACATTATTTTGTAAACTACAATCCGTAGGCTCTTTACTTCATTAAAAAAACCATTGAAAAAATATGTTGATATTAAAAATAAAGTGATTGTTTTCTATTAACAAGTATGGGGTAACTTGATACAGCTTTTGTGGGGGGGGGGTTCTCAAATTGTAAAACTATACTCCATTGTGTCATAAAAAATTCTAAAAATCATTTCTTTTAACATATACAGTCAATTTTTAGGAGATTTATGTAAATCTAATATTAGGAGATCCAATTTAAATATAAAGCTAATTTTTTATTGACGCTTAGGTATGACATTTAAAAAGATATATTACCTGGATTTCTGAGATGTGATTTGGACAGTTGGATGCAGTATTTGGATTGTTAATTCGCTTGCCTTTTAAGTAAAAATTTGCCTTTTCTCTACATTTTATTTTTTTCAATTACAGTTTTAATGATGCTCATAATTTGTATCAAAGTACCCTGATACAAATTTCTAATTTTACTTTAAATAATCTCACAAGTTTAACCTGTTATACTTTGGTAAATAACAAATTTAATTTTGTAAGTATAAATTTGTTCGACAAATTAACCCAATCGTCTAAAAAAAAGACGTATTGAAAAAATTGTTTCGAAGCAAAAACCTAAAATGTGTCATGGTGCCTCACTCTCCCCTAGACATCAAAGCTAAGTCTTTGGAAAAGAAATACTTCGTTTTGGATACATAACGGTATAAAGCTGTTATGTATATAATTTTTTGAAAATAAAAGTTAGCTAGAAGTTTATATATACTTGTGCTAGGTAATATTATAAAAAAATTACAAGTTTTACATTAAATTATACACTAAATAAAAAACTGTTTTTTTAATTTAGTTTAAAATCCGTTAAAGTCCGTTCAAGTTATTCAAAAATACTGCCTCCGTGAAACGGACTAAGATCTTACAACTGCTTAGACCGAAATTTTCATTTTCGCATATATTTAAATTTTAAAACTGAAAGCTAATATTACTTATATTTTAATAACTTTTTTTGTTCGTATTTCCCAACACGCAATATATTATTGATTTATGTAAAATAAAAGAAACAGAAATACATTTTTTCTTTCTATTTTGTAGGCATATTTTGAAGTGGAAGTTGAATAAGTGCAAACTTCATATCAGGATTTGTACTTATGCCATTATTAAAAACTCTTACAGCGCACTTATAGCGATTCGTACTTATGCCAGTTCAAATCTTTCGAAAATCTATCAACGTACTTATGCCAATTCGCACGTATGCCAATGTTTGGAACAGCTTCGCACTTACAGTTGTGCAGACTCGCTGTTATGAAATTCGCACTAAATTAATCGCCCCCTTAATTTATATCTCTGATTATATATTAATTTTAAATTAAGAATTTCAAAACTAAAAGTGTATTCGATATAATATTTAACTAGGTACACAGAGACTTTATTTAACTAGGTACGCAGAGACTTTAATTAACAAGGTACGTACAGACTTTATTTAACTAGGTACGTACAGACTTTATTTAACTAGGTACGTACAGACTTTATTTAACTAGGTACGTACAGACTTTATTTAACTAGGTACGTACAGACATTTTTTTAAACTTTAGCTAGTTAACAAATAAAAATGTTGACGGTTTTTTTTTCCTTTTCTTATTTTAAAAACTTTATACAAACTTACAAATAAAAAAAAAAGTTTTAAAATGCATTAAAATAAGTTTAAAAAATTAAAATAAAATAAAATTCAAGAATGCGGAAACTCAAAAACCATGCGAGGAATTATATGCGTCATTATCACTGATCTCTATAATAACTGGATAGCGCAACTCTGAACAAAATTTTGAATTTTTTGACGCCAAAATCGCCATATTGGAAAGCCCCAGATATTTGAATAAGTAAGCCTTTTAAAAAATAAGTAAGCCTTTTTAAAAATTTATTTATTATTTTCATTTTAAAAAAACCTTTAAGTAAGCGTTTGGCTTAGTTTTTCGACTAATCGCTTTAAAATCAGATTTCAGCTAAGTTGAATATACAATAATGTGCGGATTAAAAAAAGATCCCTGAGGTTCAGAGTGTTGTGCATATGGGTGCAAAAAAGGAAAAAAACTGAGGGTTGAAGAAGCAATATTTTAGGAAGTTAATTTAATAATAATATTATTATCTACAATAAATCTTATATAGTTATTTTTATAGATATCAGTTCTTAATTAACATTCATATATATATATATATATATATATATATATATATATATATATATATATATATATATATATATATATATATATTATATATATATATATATATATATATATATATATATATATATATATATATATATATATATATATATATATATATATATATATATATATATATATATATATATATATATATATATATATATATACACACACAAATAGATAGATACAAATGTAAATTAGTATGCACCTTTTGATTCTTAATTACCCTCTGCAAAATGCCTGAGGCTTGTAACATATTTGCAAAGTAAACAGCTTACACATTGTTGTATGAATCATTAGTTGGGCTATGTGAGTGTAACACAACCCAAAGGTTCCTTAGGCAGTAAATAGTGATTATATATATATATATATATATATATATATATATATATATATATATATATATATATATATATATATACATATATATATATATATATATATATATATATATATATAAATATATTTATATATATAAATATATATATATATAATACAAATAGATAGATACGAATGTATATCAGTATGCACCTTTTGATTTTTAATTACCCGGTGCAAAATGCCTGAGGCTTGTAACATATTTGCAAAGTAAGCAGCTTATTCATTGTTGTATGAATCATTAGTTGGGCTATGTTAGTGTAACTCAACCCGAAGGTTTCTTAGACAGTAAATAGTAATTGTATATATATATATATATATATATATATATATATATATATATATATATATATATATATATATATATGTATATATATATATATATATATATATATATATATATATATATATATATATATATATATATATATATATATATATATATACTTTAATAAAACATTTTAATAAAACAATTACTGGCTGTTGTTTCAGAAATTACTAGATAATGGGTTACCCAAAAAACTTGTTAGTTTGCTTACAT